ATAGAACTTGGGCCTTCAGGTCATCCCCCCGTAAGATCCACTTTTGATATCCTCTTCAATTTCAACATATGTCATCTTCTGTTTCAAACCATAATTGGAGGCAAGTGTTTTTCAGTTCTTTCTCTTGCAGACTTCTACAACACTTTTGCCTTCATTTCGTACCCCCAAGACGGCTGCAACACATAGGACACCCAGAGGAAATGAATAATCACCATATTCAACTGATCCCTCTCCTTAAGGTGTTCAATTAATGATTTCACCCTTTTTATGCTACACCTTGTCGAGACTTCCTACATTTTTTAATAATACATAATGTTATTATTTTTATATATCTTGTATCAACGTATTTACAAGTTTAATGAATACCTTCTTCTCATGTGCTTTCCTCCATTCTTTGTATTCTTCACTATCCATCTTTGACTGTGTGATATAAGGTTCATTCTCAGCATCACTCATTGAATTTCATTTCTCCAACACATTATGTTTCACCTAATATTAAGCATAAACGTTTCTTAATCAATACATTAACGCTAAATAATACTCAATGTCAATTTCAATTTACATACCGAACCGATGTGTTTGCCACATTCCTTCATCAATTTGGCATTCAGTTATACTGTCAACATTTAAATTTTGTAATCAATTTAAAGTTCTTAAATACTTTAATCCAATTACCATTTCAACTATAATAACAAAAAGACATTGATACTTACTAAAAGTACATATATCCAACCTTTGGTTGCTTTCGACTCTCGGCCTCAATTTCAAAGTCATCTTCACCACCAACAATTCCAAGATCCTGTGACTTCATTTTTCCTTCATATATCAGTTTACGCAAATCAAATCAAATACTGATTACATACACTTTATTCAATATACAAATATCGATAACTACTCTTGTAGTAAAACGATTTCCTTCAAAAGAATTTGAATGGCCACTACAATAAGTGTCAGCACATTTATACAACCTACAATATCATTTCCTACCTATAATATTATAAACATGTATCCATATTTATTTTCTACCTATAATATTATATAATCGGTCCCAAATCCTTCTTGGCTTCTATTCAAAATCCTCAATCCAAACCCAAAAACCCTAATCCCTATTTCCTTCATACGAATGAGAACACTCAATACTCCAAGTATCAGTACATTTATACAACCTATAATATCATTTTCTACTTATAATATTTAATAAAAGTATCGATATTTATATTTTACCTAGAATATCACTTTCTACCTGTAATTGGTCACTAATGCTTCTTTACTTAGAAAACCCCAAACAACACATAAAAACTCTATTTTCGATTACTGTAATAATAAAAAAACTAAGGTTTCAACAACATACTTTTTGAAACGACTGCATCAACAAACAAACAAACTTCGTTTTAGAAACGCCTTCTGAAATGCAGCAACAATTACACTTCGATTTCAAAAACTCGTCCGTGTTCTATCTATTTTCAAAGGAAATTTAGCTATGCCCTTCATATTTTCACCGAATATGTTATTTATATTTAATCGATACAATAACCCAAGTGTCGATACTTTTATGTCAGGTGTCGATACTTTCGATAGGATATTTACCTATTTCTTTAAAAGTATCGATAATTTATTACGCGTACTTATTAAAGTATCGACACTTTCAACATATCCAGTAGCGCTTTACCGGTTTTTTCATTTTGAGACCGGTTTTGTCATATTTTTATCTGTTATATTATTATGGATCGATACATTTGTATAAAGTATCGACACTTTATAGGAGCTATTACTACTTGTCTTTTAAATTCTAAAAGTGTCGATACTTATAATAAAGTATCGGCACTTTCAACATATCCGGTAGCGCTTTACCGGTTTTATCATCGTGGTACCGGTTTTATCATCGTGGTACCGATTTTATACATTTTTATATTGTTATGGATCGATACATTTTTATAAAGTATCGACACTTTATAGGTGCTATTACTGCTTGTCTTTTAAATTCCAAAGGTGTCGATACTTATATTAAAGTATTGACACTTTCAACATATCCGGTAGCGCTTTACCGGTTTGGTCATTTTGAGACCAATTTTGTCATATTTTTACCTGTTATATTGATATGGATCTATACATTTTTTATTTGTATCGACACAAACCGACAAGCTAAGTTTGCCGGTTGCCAATTTTTTTAATATTTATTCATGATTTCCACCTACAACATTATTATCACTCAACATTTCCGTTAGCGCTAAACCGATTTTGTTAAATATCTTTTAATGTATCCGGTCACACCGTATATTAGCCGCATATTAGTCTGCCTTTCCTGAGACAACGCCATGATAAATGTAATCATCTTATTAAAAATTTGACAAAAAGGTATCGGAGGTTTATATATATATTTTAAAAAATGTAACCATTGTATTAATTTTTCTTTGGCCTTTCAACTCAGAAAATAAATCTAATGTGACCATTTAATTAACGTTTTTTTTGTCATTTACCGTTACGATGTTCACGTAACAGTTCAAAGTACCGATGTGGCAGTCAACTGTGGCTGATGTCATAACAGAAGAGCTAAATTATTTTTTTAGTTTTATTCCAGGGCCAAATTATTTTTTTAAGTTTAACAACTTATTTAATTTTTTTTAAAAATAAAAGTTATTTTCGATTTTAAATATAAAATTATCAAAATATTCAAAAATTAAATATAAAAATAAAAATTAAATTATTAAAAAAATTGAATATTGATATTGAAAATACTAAAACTATTATAAATGATTTTTTAATAGAAAGTCGCTAGTTTTATTAAAAATTAAAAATATCCAAAATTACAATGAAAATTTACAAGCATAAATGTAAACCTAAAATATAATTATGGTATTTTCCTATTACCATGGAGACCAAAACTAGCAACTTTGAACACATAAGTATCAAAGAAGGAAAATGTTAAAAAAAACATAACCAAAAAGTTCAAACAAAATAAAGTAATGAACAAATATGACTGCATTGACAAACGAGCCACAAAAGGGTATACAACTATTGAAAGACCATCGATAAATCGCAAATCAGAGTCGAATGACGTGAGAAAACTATAAACGAAAGCAAAACATGTATCTAAATCAATCCAAGGGTCCAAAGTAGGAAAGATCAACATGATAACAAATAAGCCCCATCTTAATCAGTCGTGGTAATATCAAATCAACCTAAGAAAAAATATAAACGAAAACAACGACAAAAAATCGTAAGCTACCAAAAGACAAAGAAAAACGTGCCAGAAAGGTAGAGATAAATGTGTCATAAAGACATAGAACATGCCACAAAGACATAATTATTCTTATTAAAAAATAAAAAAAAAACAAAGAAAGAAGATATCTGACGGGTAACAACCAGCATAAAAACCAGTGCCATCGATCATTAAACAAAATTAAAGAAGAAAATTTTGGATTGATTAATAAAATTGACACAAATTGTAAAGAAAAAAATGAAAGAGAGAGGAAAAGAAAGAAATCGACTATTATAAAAGATTATTTTGAATATATAAAATGATAACTAATAAATTATTTAAAAATTTAAAAAATGTTTTTAAAATGGATACATTATACCTGCTATATACATGTAATACATAAGCATATGATCAACACTTATACAAAAATATTTTTGCTAGATTAATCGACGCTTATAAAATTTAAATAAGTCGGACTTATAAATTTTGGATTAGTCAAAATTTATTATCTTTTGTAGTTATATTTTATGTCAAAATTTATTATCTAATTATCATTTGAATTAGTCGAGTCTTACAAAAAAATGATTAGAAAATATAATATATTTTGACCAATCAAAAAATTATAAGTCTTGACTAATTTAAATTTTATAATTCTCGATTAATCCAGTAAGAATATTTTGTATACGTATTGATAATATGCATATATGTTTATATATGTTATTTATAATACATATTTTTTAAAATTTTTAATAATTGATATGTATTTATCTTATAATTTATATATATTTATTATTTTTAAAAATTATAATATTATACTATTTTTAATATGTATATTCAATTTTTTAGTAATTTAATTTTTATTTTCAGTATTTTATATTTAATTTTTTTAATATTTGAATAATTTTATATTTTTATATTTTTTTTAAAATTAAATAAGCCCTTGAAATTTAAAAAAAATCAATTTGGCCCATGAACAAAATCAAAAAACTAATTTAGCATGTCATTGGCCATATCATCAGCCATAATGAACTGCCATGTCAGAAACGTGGACCACCATATCAGCACAGTGAATTCACACATCATCATTGTAACGGTTACCGGCGGAAAACGTTGGTCAAATGATCAAATTAAGTTTATTTTATGAGTTGGAAGGTCACGTTGAGAAAAAAATAATACGAGAACCACATTAGTTTTTCTTAAAGTACATGGACCTTTGATACCATTTTTGCCTAAAAAATTTTGAACAGCTAGGGAGGGGATTCAAGGCCTAGACCTTTTTTGTTTTGTTTGGTTTATCTTCTTGCTCATGCTGAGAATTAATGGCTCTAACATTTACAGACTTGCGTGCATCATCGTGAATGCTCAAGAACTCCTCCACCATCACAATATTGTTCCTTCCATAATTAACGTTGAGCTTGAGGTAGTCAAAATGACTCGGAACAACCTTCTTGTAATTTTATCAAATGTTGGGGGTTCATTTTATCATCATGCCTTTAAAATTCTATCAATTTGGTTTACTTTTCTTTAACCAAAAATATATCAGTTAAGGTTTGAATATCAACATGATTTTGAACGTGTGTCAAGGAAAATCAAGAAAGAGAATATGCAATGCAAGTTCCCAATGAAGCTAGAATCCAACTCTTAAGAATCATTTGGGTTAAACCCCGAGACGAGCTTCCCATTAGTTCATTGATGTCTGCATAGAAGACTAAGTAATTGCCATATGTTCACAACCCCCAGTTTGGCAACCACTAATTTGATAACAATGCCAAATCAGTTCCACCTATACACCATTTCTTCATTTCGTTAACGTTGTCTGACATGCATTTGGACACGAGTGCTGCAGTATGATTCGCCGATTACATGAAGAAACTTCGAAGAAAAAATTGAGCATCCCCATATCGGAAATATAATGTTTCCGACACCTCCAATCCAAGTAGCATAGAGCTATACAGCTACTTGGTCTAACCACTTAAATAGAGATGACTGAATCACCACCATCATTGCTTTCACTGTCACTACTACTGCTCCCACTCCCGCTCCCACTACCGTTACTCTCACTTCCACTGCTACTGCTTGAGCTCGAGCTATGCTCTTCTTTCTCTTCTTTCTCTTCTGCATTTACTCTAGCTCGAAGAGCTTCAGCTGCACTCTGTCCCACATTTTGTTCTTCATCATCACTTACATCTACATCAGCAATCTCATCATCCATGTCATTGTGATGTGGTTCGTTGATATCAATACTGATACCAGTTGAAACATTTTCAGAAGCATTATCTTCTTTAGCTATCCCCAGACCATCATTATCATCATCGTCATTGACGATATCCACCTGTTCTTCCGATTCATAACTTTTACGATCCGGTGACACAGTTGGTTTATTTGGAATTGACGACTCCTTCCTGGGTTCTGCAATATGAGCAGTCAAAGTAAGAGTTTGCCATGTTTTATGACTATCAAAAAGCAAGTTCTTCAAATACAAAGCGGTTAATAAACATGTAAAAGCTCAGCCCCCGGAGTTTTGACGCTGAGTAAAGATAATTGTCCTTTATTTCAATTCTTAGAATCCTCTATCCCTCCAAAAAGGATTTCGACAATGACGGACCTACCTATTCTTTCGAGAAAGGCACTCAAACATGAAAAACTTCCTAATCTAGCTGGATACCTTATTTCTGACAGAAGAAACTATCACCGGGAATGTTTAATCGACAATGTTAGACTGATAAATGCCACCTTTACTTAGACGTCCCGAAAGTGCCTATTTGTTCAAGAAAGACTATATAGAACTCTGCAAGCCACATTAAACAATAAAAGAAAGAGCAAACTATTCTTTTACTCAATCGTTCAAACACGATATACTTCCTACCCTAGACAAGTACCTTCTTTCAAATAGAAGAAACAATCTCCTTCGATTAGGCTTTCATCAGGACGGTTTAAGTTTGAACCATAATTAAGATAGACCATTAAAATCAAGATGACGAAACTCTAACTTAATTATATTAGATTCTCTTAAGAAAAAAGAACCTCACCTCCACTCTCGAAGTCGGATGTATCAATGTGTCCCACCAGAAGCTGCAAATCACATTGAAAACAAACAAAGAGAAAAGTCAATATATTGTAGCTAAAACAGTAATGGCCCAAAAGATGCATAAAATTGCAGGGTCAAGTAAACTCACAGGCAATGGCGGAACCAGGACTTTGTTGGAAGATTCAGGCTTTAATCCTTTACCAAGTGGAGGTGAATAAGATTCTGCAGAAGGGCCAGCTGAAGCAGCCAAGGATGCTGACTCACCAGGCTGCCGGTTATGCCTCAACCGTTTCACAGCTCGATGTAAACGTTCCAACCGTAACGTCTCACCATCGAAGAACAACACCGCATCGTTATCTTTGTAATCTTCACTGGCACCCTCAAATGTCACCTTGGGTTTCCCAGGCTGGTTGTTTTCAAATTCCACCTTAACTCGATTATCCTTAGACTTGTGGAGTAATCCTGGTTGGTTCTTATCAATGGATGCTGGTTTAAATTCATCTGAAACAGAATCAAACAAAAGATGTAATGCTTCGGATTCTCCAGACACATCCAGAATGGATAGCACTCCAAATGCATAAAAACAACTTGAAAATTTGACCTTTATCTTGATACATAAACCATATCTGACAGATACCGAGTAAAATTTCCTAAATGTATAATTCCTAGCTAATGGGCAAAGTTCTAATCTCGTAAATACCAAATCTGAAATCACAAAGTTGGATATTCAAGGAAGGATATGAAAATCACCGATATTCTAATTCAAAAGGATTAAACTAGGTGGGCTACTAAAAACGAGAAAGGGTTTTAATAGATACCAAACAGAACCCAGAAAAAATTAAGAGCAAAAACGAGAACTTACATCGCAAAGTGCAAAATTTGGAGGAAGGCTGGTGTTGGTCCTTGAAGGATGATCCCAAACTTATATTGTACCAACAATTAGACTTTGGAGCAGTGGCTGGTTCTTCTTTATTGCTGTTATTTGCCATTTTTGGAATTGGAACCCTAGAAGAATTTCTCGAGAAACAAACGGAGACAACGGAAAGAGTCGGGATTTGTCCAATTGGGTCAATGGGGGTACTTTTGTCTTTTTCATTTGCGCGGGCAAAAGGTTTCACTTTTTTTTTTTAATAAAGTCTTCATTGTTTTCCTTCGAAACCCTCTCCATTTTTTTTTTTTTAGAGAAAATAACTTCAGTGATCAAAAATATCTTATAATATACGATTTTAACTAACGTTTTTTGGATTTGCCAAAATGACCAACTAAATCGCAATGCGATCGATAATTCGCAACGCGATCTTCGGTATCGCAAATCAGTTTCCAGATTCGCAACGCGAACTTCGACTATCGCATTGCGATTTACATATTCGCATTGCGATAGTCGAAGTTCGCGTTGCGATTTATTCCAAATTCGTTGCGATAGTCGAAGTTCGCGCTGCGATTTATTCCAAATTCGTTGCGATAGTCCAAGTTCGCGTTGCGATTTATTCCAAATTCGTTGAGATAGTCCAAGTTCGCAACGACGATATTGCATTTGTTTCTTAAGAATTTTCTCTAAAAAGATAGTATTCGCGCGGACGTGTCGAAGACACGTATTACCACAACCACGACCACGACCACGACACAACACGACACGACCCGAGACGAGATGGACGGCGGTGGCGGCGGCGCGCGAGAGTCCCCTTGTTCTCTATCACTCAACAAGGAAGTGGGAAAGCCAAGCCTTAAATACCATTCCCAATAGTGTTTCCAATACTATGTGGGATTGAGCATTACCAACACTTGTTCCCAATACTATGTGGGATTGAGCCTTAAATAGTGATATTATTTTTGAATGTTTTTGCTTAAAATTGCAATAATCGCAATTGATTGTAGATTGACTTTTAATTATGACATATTTAATCGTATAATACTAATGCAATTGGTTGCTGATTCAGTTGTTTTAAGGTGCATGATTGTTAATTGTTTCCTGAATAATCACATTGTATTGGAAACAAGTGTTGGTAATGCTCAATCCCACATAGTATTGGGAATGGTATTTAAAGCTTGGCTTTCCCACTTCCTTGTTGAGTGAAAGAGAACAAGGGGACTCTCGCGCGCCGCCGCCGTCCGTCTCGTCTCGGGTCGTGGTCGTGGTCGTGGTAATACGTGTATTCGACACGTCCGCGCGAATACTATCTTTTTAGAGAAAATTCTTAAGAAACAAATGCAATACCACTAGTCGTTGCGATTTTGGACTATCGCAACGAATTTGGAATAAATCGCAACGCGAACTTCGACTATCGCAATGCGAACTTGGACTATCGCAATGCGAATATGTAAATCGCAATGCGAACTTGGACTATCGCAACGCGAACTTCGACTATCGCAATGCGAACTTGGACTATCGCATGTCCAAGTTCGCGTTGCGAATCTGGAAACTGATTTGCGATACCGGAGATCGCGTTGCGAATTATCGATCGCATTGCGATTTAGTTGGTCATTTTGGCAAATCCAAAAAAAGTTGGTTAAAATCGTATATTATAAGGCATTTTTGGTCAATGAGGTTATTTTCTCTTCTTTTTTTTTATCTCTAATGGCTGCATTTCATCGATAGGCATGAGTTGGGTTTGGGTCAATCAGATTCGACTTGAAAATTTTACATCATTCATCCGATTTGAACTGAAAAATATATACTTTTCACTTGATCTGAACTCGACCCGATTTTTTGAGATAAAATCTGAATCGATTCAACTCAACTCGAAATAATAAAAAAATATTATTTTTATTCAATAAAAACAATGATTTGATTTAAAAAAATAATATATAAAAGGGTATTATTATAATTATTCTTAAATATATAAGGTAAAATTATTTTTTAAGATCAGATATTTTTCACCCTAACTCAAATCCGACCGGACCGAACATCACTTTAAAAAAAACGACATGATCTGACCTAAACCCAAAATTTAAAATAAAAAAGATCCAACCCGATCGAGTCGGAATCCGTCGAGTTCGAGTCTCATGCCCATTCCCTAATGAACCAGTCTGAATCGAATCTCATGCGCTTCCCTAATTTCATCTCAGATACTTACACAGTTTTCCCCATTTCCTTTTTTTTCCCCTTAATAAATCTTTGTTCTTCAATCTTATACGTGATGTTTTGTATGATTTGTTCTTGTTTTCGTATATATCTTTTTCCCAATTTCCTGGGTTTTTTTCTTAATAAAATTTGGCTCCAATTCGAGTTTAGGAAAATATTGAATTGCTTGAGCTTGATTAGATTCTTTTACCAAATAAAAATGAATTTGATCCCTACAATCAGCTTCAAACTCGAGCTGAAAATTTTTATTAATTAAAAATAAACTCAGTTAGGCTCATATGCTGCTCAAGGCCAAGCATGAAGCATTATTGTTATTTCTTTTAAAATGAAAATTCAAACTATTAGATTACATTGCTTAATTCTTCGATTTGTTGATTACAGTTTGTAGGATTATTAAGGGCATGATACATTAGTGCAATTTTACAGTTTCCAAGTCTTTGTAAGTGTTTCTCTTTTTACATTTTCTTTTTCTATTTCTTGTACTCCAACTTTGTCTGCACAACTTGATAGTTTACTTCATGAAAATGCACACTTCACTTTTCCTCGAATTAAACACTAAATAAACACGACTATTAAACTTTAATAAAACCTTGCATGCAGTTGATATTTTAATCTTATTACTAGTTGTTGAATTTCAGGAATTTCGGAGCTTTGGCGGGGAGTAGACCATTTAATTTGAGATCAAATCTTCGTCCAGGTGTTCGGTTAAGTTTGTTAGAATGGAAAATGATAATTGTAGCTTGATGGATGCAAGCAGTTAATCTAGAGGTGCCTTGGTAGTTTTCGAAGGATTGGATCGTAGTGGGAAAACTTCGCAATGTGGGAGACTGCTTTCATATTTGGAGGGATTAGGGTATCCGGTTGAGTTATGGGGATTCCCCGACAGAAACACGAGCGTTGGGCAGATGATATCAGCATATCTGAGTAATAAATCGCATCTGGATGACCACACAATCCATCTACTTTTCAGTGCAAATCGGTGGGAGAAGAGGTTCGTTTTCACATTTATGCATTGCATTATATTCTGCTTTAGAAAAATGTTTACATGTAGGAAATGCATGTACCATATGCTCTATGATTGTTTTCTAGTTCTTGACAGATATCTCATACACTTGACGTTTCTTGAAGTACCATGTCTGGCACATTTTGAACATGAATATGGGAATATCACTCTTCAAGGAAGATACCTGTGTCAGATTCTTATCCATATCACACACTTTTTATCAGCATGTTGTGCAATCTTTGAAGTTTATTGATGTTCGGTTTGATTCCTTTCATTAGAACTTCTGTTAGCCATATTGGTCGGAGAGAACAATCCTTTAAGTTGCACTGACCCATCTCCACATGCTCATATTTTGGTCTTCTTCTAGGATATGCAATACTGCATTTTTTTTCAACAAGTTCTGCTATCTTTGAAGATTTAGCCTCTGGTTTAATCATTTTTGTTGGAACTTTTATTTTTTGCTATTATTGTGAAAGGATGATACTTTTACCAACACTTCTCAGACTTTGCTTCATATGTTTATCTTCTCGGATCTTCATTTGCCTTATTTTCACAGCAGATATATGTTGGGCTTAGGTGTCAGAGTCGGATATAGCAATTTCTTAACAAATAGAATCGGCGCAACAAAGCTTAAAGTCCTACACTTTTTAGGTTAATATGAAGAAAAAAAAAACTACACCAAAACATGGGTTTTGGGTAATCCATTGACTATGTTCACGTGTTTTTGTTTGGTTGCACTGCAAGAATGACAGGTGGGCTGATATTTGCACGAGTCGGCAAAGTAACACTATCGGAATAGAGTTCCCTGACTAAGCTGATCTTTGAATGTTTATCAGATGAAATTATCAAAACTTCTAGGCTTTTAAGCAAGTAGGACAAATTCTGATGTCATATTTTGGTGATAGATACAAGGAAATATGATACACAGTATATGCATATGAACCACTCAAATATTCCTCCCAATGAATCTGATATCTGCGTATGCACACTTCTGATATTAGTTTGCAGCATAACACAAGCTCGTAAATCTACTATCATTTGCAGATCAATAATGGAATCGAAACTAAAAGCTGGAACCTCCCTTATAGCAGACCGTTACTCTTATTCTGGGGTTGCTTTCTCATCTGCTAAAGAACTTGATTTCGAATGGTGTAAGGTATACGCACACTGACAAAAGAGCTAGCATATACTCTGTATTAAGGTATTTCCTAGCTTGGCTATCAATAATAAAATAAGGTATTTTATTACAGGCACCAGAAATTGGACTAATAGCTCCTGATCTGGTATTGTACCTCGACATACCGCCTGAGGTTAGTCATGCATGCAACCACTTATGTTAAAACTAGTGAATTGGATTGGTTATATATTAAGCAACCATTTCTGGTTTTCAACCCGAAGTTTTTTTAGAAAAAAATATTTCAGATTTGAGATTTTGGTTGGGTTATTATAATGTTGATTATTCACTCTTACACACTCCCTGAAGTTTGCTATGTAATGGGACTAATATTACATTACTCTTGACTTCTCAATTTTCCTGAAATACCAGTGTTCAGCATCCATGTACAACATATACTCGGACACGAGTATGGTGATTTGATCTTATAAGGATCCTCCCAATACATAATAATCTTGAAAAAAACTGAACAAAACTGTGTTGGACACAAACCTATGTCCTCCATTTGCATTTAAGTTCGAGTAATATAGGACAAATATTTTATTTTCCATTTGTTCATGCCGTGGAATATTTCATCGTTTGATAATTGGAGGCTTCTTTTTGTTGTTTACACTGCCAGCTGCTCAAAATAATCTGATTACAATAGATCTCCGGCTTCAACAATTATTTACAGTACTCCATCTTCCCCCACCTAAACCTATATGTATAAAAGTGCCCTTTTCCCATGAAATTAACGATCCAAATATAATTTCATTGGAAACTTCTGTCCTTAGTTCATTAACAAAGGGTAATTTAAAGATTGATTTCTCTGTAAAAGGTCGACTGTATAGCCGGGTGTTAATGAAACAAGATAAAGCTCAATAAAAGTTATGGAAAGAGCCAATGCAGTTTGCATTACACATTGTAGTGAACATCTTATTTCGTCCTTAGGTTGGTGATCTTGAACTTCATGTTTTTTCGCACGTTAATTGATTAAAGTTCATATACATACCATACCTTCAGGAGAACATACATATGTGCATATATGTAATACGAAATTATTAAATTTCATTTTTATCAGAAAGCTGCGGAAAGAGGAGGATATGGTGGAGAGCAGCTCGAGTTTCAGAAGAAAGTTGCCCAACACTATAAGCTTCTTGAAGATTCTTCTTGGAAGGTAATAGTTTGTTTCATCTTATGCCATATAGTAATAGCAACAAGATGCATGGCCTCATCATGGTTGGTTTTGATTTGTGAATTTTTTTTCTGGTTTGAATGCTGGTAAACTTTAGTCATGGTCGCTCTGAAGTGAACTACTGGGTTTGTTTTGGAGTTATGACGCATAGTATTAAATATTACACCTGGATTTTGTGATGGTGCACATGTAGGGGGGAAAAGCTACAGCTTGTGTAATCAAACTTCTTCCCTCCATTTTATTGCTTCCATTTTTGTGGTGGTTAGTGTAAAAACTTTCGGCCTTAGATGCATGATTAAACCTATGTTACTCGGATTTCGGTTATCCAAGTGGATGAATATTATCAGCCTTGTGTTTGTAATTTCTTGTTACCCTTGCAGATTATAGACACATCCCAGTCCTTGGAAGATGTGGAAAAACAGGTGAAGGAGACGGTATCGGAATATGTCATGAGTTGCCAGAAAGGAAAGCCACTTTCGTCCCTCTGGTCTTACTAATTTATCTATTTCTTTTCCCTATTCAAAGATGCAAGACTTGTGTTTGACATAGGACTTCATACTGATGTGGAAGTAAATGACCTATGGTTGGTTGGTTGTTGAAAATTGTCATATGTATTACTCTGTTTATTATGAGTTAAAGCGTAATTGTCATTTATTATATATATTTTTAGCCGATATTTCTTTGTTTTATCTTGAGTTTGATTAAAATCTTTGAAGTAATATATAATGGTTATTAAAATTCTATTCTTATAAGACATGATTGTTCCAGATTTCCCCTTTCCACTTTACCACTAAAGAAACAAAACAAGCATGGTACTCGATTGCCTAGGATAATCTCACCATAAGTTACACCACTTTGATTGAAAGAAACATAGAGAAGAATCCGATAAATTTAAGTTTCGAATGTCAATATCTATTCAGCACCAATGTGTATACATGATCCTTAACCGCTTTTAACCACGACAAATCAACGTGTAGTCGGTTCATGAAAAAAGACTCCATCCTTCAATTTTAGTTCCTTTGAAATGCAACGGTGGCAACACGTGATCCCACACATCCACCAAACATGAATGTTGGATAAGTCCGAACATGATTCAGATATCGAAACTGGGGGTGGTCGTTCTGTGTTTCTTGGTCCTTGACTGTATTTGGCTCTTGGGGTGTTGCAATGTTCCCTTGATTGAAATTTTCCACCTCTTGCACCAATTCATCTTTCGTATTGTTGCAAGATGTAATCACCTGCAAACAGCATTAAAATTAAAAAAGGATAGGGTGAAGGTTGCTCTCTATGTTGTTCCGACTCTTCATTCAAGTACTTGTGTCTGACATTGTTAGACAAGGGTATGAGAAATGACCCTCCAAATGCATAGAAAAAGATCTGCAAATACCCATGTCGAACAACTACCCATATCCGACACATCTGAGTCCTGGTAACATAGGTGGTGGTGTATATTTCTTTTAATGAAAACTCTAGCAGAGTCTAGCCTTCTCGAAACTATACTCGGGATAAAGTTTTATATTAGATCTTATCCAAGTAGTCGATGCAATGGCCCACATTTCACAGATTTTAAAAAATAAAAATAAAAGATAAAACCATAAACAAGCCTGTAAGGTGCTTACTAATATTCCACCAGGGGCCAACAACTTTGAAACTGAATCCCAATACATCATCCTGAAAAGGAAAAAGTTCAAGGAAACTTAAAAAGGTGATCTGATAGACAGCCATAACTGTAGAAGCCAAAGTTAGTTTCTTTTTCTTGTGGCGGTGGGGGGACTAACTAACTAATGCCTATCATATTCATAAGTGCAAATTGCACTAGTCCATGCATTTGATTCTATCTGCATGGACATGAACTTTTAATAATCAGTTACTCATCATGAATATTGCTGTACGAAGTCAAAAGGGGAATATTTTAGTAGAGATGGAATCACCATTACCTTTTGATAGGTCCATCAGGATGCAACCCAATGGCATCAAGAGTCCCCTTATCCATGACAAGTTGAAACTGTCTATCCAACTTTGTCTCAAGAATATCATCAACCTAAGGACAAAATGAACAGGGTAACTGTCAAGATGCTTTGAGAACAGTAAAGAGCCAACAGAGTTATCAATTATGTAGGAATTCAACTCCAACAGGAATGTTTTTACGCTCCATTTTCTGCATAAGAAACCTACAACTCCACACTTACCTCTTAGGTGTTAGAAGTATTAATATCCAGTTCTTCTCAATATGGATCTCAATTGTCTTTTGGACTGCATTGTTGGCCAAAACTTCCCCAAGGCAATTTATTTTTGGTTTATAGCACCTCTTACCAGGTTAAAAAAGTTTAAAGATAAACAAATATCTAAAAGTAAATAAGAATGTGGTTAACTGGATTGCCCAGGAATTGAAAATGGGTACAATGGTTTCTCACAACAGATGAAAGCGAAGTAAATAGGTCATCTTAATTAAGACAAATGGATAAGGAAGTTCTAAAAATTAAACAAGAATATAAAGAAAGAACCAAGACAATGCTGATGTACAAGTACGTTGAAAAAAATATACAAAGCATAAGAATTAACCCGTGCAAACATACCATAGAGCAATTCATTTCAAATCAGAGATAAGCACTAATTTTTTTTAGGGGGAGGAAAAAGTCTACTTAAAATTCTTTTAGATTCATAGAAAGCCATCCATACCAGGAACTTAATGTTTAAAAATCCATCTCGATCTGCAAGGCTTCGAGCAAGGTCAACTGCCCCTTCACTATAATCAGTTCCAGTTAAATCTGCGAACCTGAATTAAAAAATGCAGCACATTCACCTGACCATAACTATCAAAGCAATAACAAAAAGAAAATTTTGTTTCTTTACACATAAATTTATCATAACATTTATTAAAGGCCTAAATATATTATTTGAGTATATTTATTTAGACTACAATTAAAAAGATTAAACTAACACTGAAGTGATAGACAATGGAATAACAGAAATAGTCTTTTCTGTGCCTTTTCAGTTCATTTTTGGGTGAGTGCTCTGTCATGTACAGTCTCTCTAATTTAAGAAGAAAAAGTCAATCATTGAATTCACATACAAAGATGATAACTAATTGTAACAGTTCATAAAGTGTTTGATGCACATCCAGAATAAAGTGTTTGATGCACATCCAGAATAAAGTGTCGTTCAATTGATTCTTCAACCTAGAGTGCCATTCTAATTAGGTCCTTCTGTTGGCCTATCCATTAGTTTTGGTGTTAAATGCCAGGCTGCAGCTTTGAACTGAAGTGTTTAACATATTATTAATCCATACATGTTTTGAAAAAAAACATTTTAGATTCAAGTAGGAATTTAACACCTAAGCTAACAGCTAATAGAATGGCATGATTGAAATGATACTTTGTTTCAGGAATCAATCTGAATGTTTTTTAGTTTTTAAATCAATTTAAAATTTTGCTGATACCTTGGGTATGGCTGTTGCAATTAAACCTAATAATACGCATGGAATTGTAAATAGGGAAAATGTTCTCTGGTTATTAAAATAGTTCATTTTTAAAGTAATACTGCCACGATGGCTACATTTCTATATTCAAACACTAGTTACAATACCATGGTTTCTTTATATATCTATATTGCTTCACATTTACAAGCATCATTAAATGTCAATAACTAATGCATATATATGTAAGTGAAATTTTTTCCATCTTTAATTAATCTTGCATCTTTTTCTAAAGAAAACATTCATTCATACCCATTAAATCTGATAATATTATGGCCAACCTAAATTCAATATTCTAAGACCAAGAGCTGCTCTCATCTGCTTATGTTGAATACAGCAAAATGTCTTATCAAATACCATAAGAGCAATAAAAAGAACAATATGCAAGCCAACAGATTGTTTCACTCTAAGCCCATGAATTAGTTTTACTTAAATTCATATTTGTAGCATAAAATACCATTACAGGCAAAATCTTAAGCGTACCCTTGCTTAGAAAGTTCCTGAAGGAGCAGACCATTTCCCGTGCCAATGTCAAGTACACTCCAGGAAGACAAATGCTTATCATCCTGCTCAGCAGGCTGAGACTTGGCCTCTCCAACATGATTCAGGATGTGACCTTGGGAAACATCAATACACAAGCTTTTGGTCCAAGAAATAACAGTATCCATGACATCGGTTCCAAACCTATGGAAAGAGAGGTAAAAAGGTGAAGAGCAAAAACTAACTAAAAGACTCAAAATGAAATTAGCACAAATAAAGGTTCTTACAGTCATTTTCCTATAAGATGGTTACTAAATTCCATTTAATATATTTATACACAGATAAGTATTTATGTGATAGCAAATAAATAACAAATATTTTGGCTATTAGTACATAGATCGTGCCTATTCTGAAGGAAAATTAACATTATTAAGGCAATGCTAACCAAATTTCACCGACGTGGCCATGTTCACGAAAATTTGCAAGCTCATCGAGATATGCAGCATCCCAGTAACTCTGAAGACCAAGCATTGATGTCATCGCATCCGCATCTGGTTCATCCTTGTCGGAACTGTATGTACAACACAAACCATACAGGCCTGATAAATATACACTATTCAACTTCTTTAGCAATGAGTAAAAATAATACTCCTAGAATTCCATCCATAAAAACAAAATCCTGAAAAGCTTCTGTTCTAATGTTAACTTTTCCACTTTCCATAAAAGTATAACATTTTCGGATATAAAGGGAAATAATAATCTTGACTCGAGCCATAACACTTTTACATTTTCATTGAATAAATTATGTTTGAATCGGTATTTCGTTATACTCAGTAGCACATTTTTCATCATATATGATTTTCAACAATACCATTTCCTATTTCTTTATAGCTGAAGCCTCAAGGGGGGGGGGGGGGGGAAGTACCCAAACAAGAAGAAAAAAACTTGTTTCCTGATAGCATTCATCTATAACAATAAATATTTTATATATTGGATGTCGATCTATTAACTTTTTGGCTGTAAAGAACTAAAGTTTCTATAGATTGGTAAGCTTAATAACTTTTACTTTCATTTCAATAGCAGGGATCCACATATATTTATTTTTGGAATAATATGAAAATCACACTAATACAAGCCATAAATTGGGAGGATAAGGTAAAATAACCTATGAAATTTTCCAATCCAAAAGTCAAACTAAGTTAAATGTTCATCTAACCTTGTCGCAAAAATTTAACTTGTTAGTAGATCAAATCTCAAGGTTCAAAACCATTCCCAAAAAATACATAAACAAACAAATAAACAAAACATAAAACTAAGAAAGGAAGGTCCGAATTCAGTTTCTGCAACTCCAAAACCCTGATTTATCAAGTAACTTAAAAACTCAAAAGAATAACCTGTAGTCAGAAGCGGGACGGAAGTTGGCGGCGGAGGAGAGGGCTTCGGCGGCATCAGCGTGGCGCTGCTCATCATCAAGTGTGCTTCCGTAATCGCTCTTAATAGACCATGAATCCGCAGCCACCGACCTGTCATCGTCGGACGCCCCTTCTCGACCGGTCTGAAACAGTTGCTGATGCGGCGCCGAAAGATGCTGGTTTGCTTCCGACGAATCTTCAGGCGAAAACCTCATTCCTGCCATCGATCTCAAGCTAATTAAATAAAAAAAAGTTTAATTTGTGAGTGAAGCAAGGAAGATGGAGACTTGATTTGTTTACGACTTCGATATTTGTTTAATGAAAGTAGAAAAAGTGGAGATTTTAAGTAGATTTTTTTCAGTGTTCTTTTTTGTAATTTCATTTTTTTAATTTTTATAAACAATACTATTATTATATGGATTAATGACCAAATAAGTGTCCAAACTATATATTTTATGCTGAATAGGTGCCTATATTATTTTTTGGCCCATCCAGTTGTTTAATGTTACAAAACATTATCCCTTAAAGTGCCCGAGCCATTAACGGCGTTAGTTTTCCCATTAAGCGACACGTCTCATAATCTGATAATTTTAAATATATATATATTTAAAAAATTAAACTATATATTTTTAAAAAAGAAAACATAAATTTTGAAATAACCCCTAAACATGTATAGACTCTTCTACCACTAAGTTATTTTATTAAATACTCGATAAGCTTTAGAATTTAAGAAATAACCCAGAAAAATTCCTTCATTTCTTTTAGCATCAAATTTGCCAAGATTGTATTATCTTTACCGTTGTTTAAAACAAAACATTTACATCCAAATGGATGAAAATAGCTAATGTTAGGCTTTTTATTTTTGAAAAGTTCATATGGAGTTTTCTTTAAAATAGGCCTAATCATTACTCGATTTATAACATAACAAGCAGTATTTGTGGCTTCCGCCCAAACATTTTTTGGCAAATTATTTTCACAAAGCATGGTTTTAACCATTTCCTCTAAAGTTCAATTTTTCCTCTCAACAACTCCATTTTGTTGAGGGGCTCTAGGTGTTGAAAAATTATGGCTAATTCCATTTGAATTACAAAACTTAGTAAATCCAAGATTTTCAAATTCAGTACCATGGTCACTCCTAACACTAGAAATGGAGTAACCTTTTTCGTTTTGGATTACTTTTGAAAACGTGATGAATTTTTCTAATGCTTCATCTTTAGTACTTAAGAATATAACCTAAGTATATCTAGAATAGTCATCTACCAATACAAAACAATATTGTTTTCCACCCAAGCTAACATTCCTAATTGGCCCAAAAAGATCTATATGGATCAATTGTAATATTCTACTAGTTGATACATCATTAATGGATTTAAAAGAAACTTTCTTTTGTTTTCCTTTTGAGCATGCATCACAGATTTTATCTTTGTCAAATTTTAGCTTTGGCAACCCTCTTACTAAATCTCCTTGAATTAGTCTATGTAAAACACTCATGCTTGTATGTCCTAGTCTCCTATGCCATAACCAACTATCATGTTCATCCTTAACAACTAGGCACAAGTTAGTCATATTAACATAATCTAAATGCACAATGTATATGTTTCCTATTCTATGACCAATAAACATAATCCGATTAGATGCAATGTCAACAATTTTACAACCATTTAATTCAAATAAGACATTGTATCCTTTATCACAAATTGACTAATACTCAATAGATTATGCTTTAACCCATTCACATATAATACTTTTTCTATTTGTATGGAAGATGTATTACCTATGGTACCTATACCTTAAATGTAACCTTTTGAGTTGTCACCAAAGGTTACCACTCCTCCATTTTTGTAGTTAAGCTTTATAAACTGGCTCTTGTCTCCAGTCATGTGTCTTGAGCATCCACTATCAAGGAGCCATGAATTTGAACTTATATTTTGTGCCTTGTAGCAATGCTCATTTTCCTACAAACATAGATTATTTTTTTATTTTTGGTACCCAAATTCTTTTTGGTCCATATTCATTAGTCTCTAAAATTCTAGTCCCCTTTGATATCCATTTGTGTAGGATATCCTTATCTTTAGTAGTAATGAGTTCTTTAGGAACCCTTATACTTCTAATGATTTTACTATTTGAGGTTTTTTGGGGACCTCTATGATTGTAGTTCTTAAAACTTTTTCTAACAAAGTTGGATTTTGAACTTTCTCCATTTTCAAAACGTTTTGTTCCAACTTTATCAAAATAAGCTTTAAGATCATCAATTTCTTTTTGATGATCGTCATTTACTCTTGAAAGTAAATTATGCAAATCAGTATTCATCTTTTCAAATTCATGTAGTTTGATTTGCAAATTTTTCATTTTACTTTCAAGATCATTGTTGTCTTGGATATGAGATTATTTTCGTTTTTCAATTTTGAAATATCTTTCTTGTATTTTGAAAATAATTTCTCATAATCCGAAGCCAACCCAGTATATTCCTCTACTAACTCATCATAAGAATAATCTTCTAAATCAAATAAGTTAGAGGTTACCTGAGAATCTTCCCAGTGGCCATCAAGCACAGGTTCACTACTTCTTGTTCCTCTTCATATGATGATTCATCATCATCGCTCCAAGTAGCCACGTGTTCCTTGTGCTTCTTCTTTGATTGACCATTCTTCTTTAATTGCGGGCAATCGTATTTGACATGCCTGGGCTTTTTGCATTCATAGAAAATGATCAGGTCCTTCTCTTTTGGTTCATTTTTGAAGCCTTCATTTCTTTTGAATTTTCTTCCTCTGTTGGGCTTCATTAATTTTCTGAACCGTTTGGCAAATAATTCCATCTCTTCATCATTGTCATCATCATCAGAATCACTCTGATCTTTTGTAGATTTGAGATCAACTCGAACACTATTCTTTTTCTCCGTCTCATTCTTTGTCTCGTCCTTCTTCTCGAGGTCTTTCTCATTTTGAATCATCATTTCATGCGTGAGAAGAGAACCAATTAACTCATCAAGAGTTAAAAGACTTTAAGTTTTTAGCCTCGATGATCGCCGTCTTCTTTGATTGCCAAGCTTTTGGAAGAGAATAAACTATCTTCCTCACAAGCTTCTTGTTTGGATTGATCTCTCCATATGCCTTGAGACCATTGACAATCACGAAAAATCTATCGGTCATAGCTTTGATATCTTCATCCGATTTCATCCTGAAATTTTCATAGCTATGAGTTAGAATACTTATTTTGGATTCTTTTACCTCATTGGTGCCTTCATGAGTGACTTGTAATTTATCACATATCTCCTTGGTGGTTGTAAAAGATGAAACTTTCATGTATTCATCTGGTTCAAGAGCACAAAATAGAATATGGATGGCTTTTGAGTTGAGCTGGAACATTCTCGTCTCTTCTTCACTCCACATATTTAGGTCTGTGGATGGCTCGGAGTATCCGTTCACTACGATTTTCCATGCTCCCATGTCACTAGCTTGAATGAAGTATCTCATTCTATTCTTCCAATAGACATAATTAGCTCCATTGAAGAAAGAAGGCTTGTTGACGGGCTGAGAATCAAGAACGAAGTCGAAGTTTGAGGTTGAGGTCATTGATGACTTGATTATTGATATAACTCTTCCAAAATTGACTCAAGAGGTGGTTAAACCTTCAAATGAGTGTGGCTTTGATACCAATTGATAAGTTAATCGATTGATGAATCAGCCAAGATGGGGGTGAATTGGCAATAAAAATTTCGGTGTAAGCTCTTACAGAAAATTGAAAATATTTGCACAACGATTTAGAGTGGTTCGACTTTCTCAACCAAAGTCTACGTCCACTACCTTAGCTATCCACACTAAGGATTTTCCACAAATTCAGTAATTTGTCTTTCTTTTGAGGACAAAGAGTAACCTTATAACTCCCTCAAGAATTATAGCCCAAATTCTTGAGAACACTCTTTCCCAAAGAGAAAATTACAAATTCTGTAAACTTACAAAAAAACCTCACAAGGTAAGATGTTTGTACAATTCTAGAACAAAGAAAAAACACTCAAGAATGAATACAATTGAGTACAAATGGTGTTCTTGAAAGCAAAATGAATATTGAATGAAAAATAGGCTTGAAATGCTCAAACTTAACGTTTGATGCTTTCTCTTTGATTCTCTAGCTTCTCTTCTTAATTGTTGTTGATTAATGGCTTCAGGACTTGTTTAAATACACCTTGGATTGATTCTGAACGTTGGAGATCATTGGTGAAGTCAATAGAGCCGTTATGGTGTGAATACCATTTAACAAATCTGTTGGGAGTGTAGGTGTATCGGTACACTATCAAGGTGTATCGGTACACTCAGTGTAAAATTCAAATATTTCGACCGTTAATTGACCTAGTGTATCGGTACATCCCATGTGTATCGGTACACTAATTACATTCGATGTTTCTCGGAGCCAGGAGTGTATATATACATCGACTGTGTTTCGGTACACTAATTACATTCAAAATATGGGGTGTATCGGTACATACAGGAGTGTATCGGTACGTCCCTTTGTAAAAATTATTTTTTGCCCGATTAAGGTTCGAAATAATTTGTAAAAATTGTTTCAAAAATATTTTAAGATTAAAACACAATTTTACACTTAAGTAAGGTTTAAAATTGACATTTGAAAACTTGGAGTAATATTTATGATATTCTATTAATTTAATCGAATATTATTTTTGAACCGAATATAAAATCTTAAAATTCAATAGTACTTTATTTGTTATATCGAAACATCAAAATGTTTTCAACATATAAAAACTATTATATCAATATATCTATTATTTTTTTAACAATGGGATACCAAATTTAAATTTAAACTTAAACTAAATATTAAATATTAAAGAATAAAGTTTGAGTATCAAAATGAAACAAAAGTAATAATTTAGATTGTAAACACGTATTTTATCTTAAAAAAGATAAAGTTAAAAAAATGTGAGTAAATTATTAAAATAATTTTTTGAAATTAAATTCTTAAACTATATATGGATATTAAATTTTGAATTTTAGGGTAAATTATGTGTTTAAACCTAAACTATTAGTTTTGGTTCATTATAATACCTAAACTTCAATTTTTTTAATCATAATTAAATTTTAGTTTTTGTTTCATGTTAGTATCCGTTCAAATTTAATGTTAAGTTTTGAAAAAAATGAAAGTTTAGGAACTAAAACCTACCAAAACTGATAGTTTAAGTATTAAATGCGTTAAGTTTTTAATGGAAAATACTAAAATGAAACAAAAATTAAATGTTAGATACATTTTGAAAAAAAATTGAAAATTTAATTACTAAAACGGACGAAAACGGATGGTTTAGGTATTAGGTTCGCGTG